CACACACACACACACACACACACACACACACACACACACACACACACGGATTCTAGAAAGTCATGTGAAACAGAGACAAATTGGAGCACTATGACTGCAAGCTAAGGGTCACCTTGGCTTGTTGCAGATGGCCAACAAGCCACTTGCAGCTGGGGAGGAGCAGGGAGGAGTGTTCATACATCACACACATCACAGGGAGAGCAAGACCCCGGGAGTCACCTTGATTTCACACTTTCAGCCACTTGCTTTGGGGAAACAGGATGTTTGTGTTGTAAATCACCCAGCTTTTATTTTGTTACAACAGCCCTAGGAAAGACAAGCTCAGAGCCACCTCAGGTCTGATGGTCTTGTGCTCAACAGAGACTGATGACAGCACCAGGAAGAGAAACTCTAGGGTCAGAGACTGATGACAGCACCAGGAAGGGAAACTCTAGGGTCTTGACCGGCCAGGCTATGTTTTATAGGAGCGCCTCAAGAAATCATAATTGAATACTGCCACTGTGAAGACTAGAAGAGAAATAACATAGTCCGCCAACTGCTCTAAAGGGATTGACATTCTGATGGAAGATTCCAGGAAGAAATAAAATACAACACCATCATGAGGGGCAGATGAGTCTCAGCTCACATATTCTTACACTGCTGCTGCTGGATGCCCCGGAAGCCACTCTCAATTGCCTCCCACCATGCTGTCCCCTCCGGGGTTCCATCTCCTAGCCTCTCTTTATTTTAGCTGCTCCACAAACCAGTGCAGGCAGAGGCACACCTGCCAGGTCTTCTGGACATTCTTTAAGATGTCAGGCTATCTGTCAACTTCTGCGTCCTGGGGACGAAGTGCCTATGGTCATTATCTGCTGTCCTTGGTCCAAGTCTCCCCATTAGCTTCTTACCAGCTCACTCTTCCTGGTGGAGGAGGTAAGGCTTGGAGGGGAAAGATGACCCATTTGTAGTGCTAAGGGATTTTCTCAAGGAGACTGGAGAAGATACAGGTGGTTTAGAAGTACGCTTTAGAGTTGACAGGGTTTCATACACACACACACACACATGCATACATGAGAGAGGGGGGAGTGGAGATCCATTATTGACATTCATAGCATTTATCTGGCCCACCTTCTAGCATATCTGACATCCAAGAAAACTCACATTTCCCGGGAGGCCTTATACCCAGGTGCACACTTGCCTGGACTCAACTGGAACTCCTCTGAACCCGAGGGCTCTGAATTCTGGTTCTCTCAGGGTCCTCCAGAGATGCTCCAGGATGGGACGATGTGGCAGAGTCAAGGGTTCACCAGACGTCCAGGTTGGGCTCACAGAATAGGAGCAGCAGGTTGCCGCTGTCCCGTCTTGATAAGTAGCCAGCCTCCTGAAGAGCAGCTGAGGTCAGTCCATTGCCTGTGGGTAGAACAGAGGAAACGGTTCCCTGCTTTGACTTTGAGAAATTCACTGTTGACTGTCAGGGTGGAACAGACTTGGAGCAGCTGAGCCTTTATCTTGGAGCCGACTTTGAGACAGACGGCTCTGCTTGCATAAACAATTCCAGCCATCCCTTCCTCTTTCCTCACACACTCTGGACTTACCACACAGGGTGGCAACCTCATCCCTGCCCCAGAGTCTCAGCCTATGAAAACAAACAAGACCGTGGTTGTCAACAAGGTCGGCTGAGCTCCTGACCTATTCTAGCATGAGACAGAAGAAGGTTAGCAGGAGAGTCCCAGGCACCGGTCACATGGCCCCTTCCTCTGATGGACGTTGCTTGGTCTCATACAGTAAGCAGGGCTTCTGCAGCCACACTGTGACCAAGAGGCAGAAGCATGTCGGCCAGAACAGGAGGACTCTCAACCCCTGATGGTTGATACCCCTGAGCCACTGAGCAGACACTCCCATTCACCTTCCCCAGACTCCAGCTGTCTATGCAGTAACTACCATCATTTAAATTCAGTGAGTTGAATTTGTTGGGCAACTTACAGCTGCGATTAACCAAGGTGATGTATATATCCTCAGAGGTTCCTAAGATCCTATCCCAGGGTCACAAACACATGATTCTGGTTATAGCATCCCCAGACTACAATATGACATGCCCCCAACTTTTCTCTCCATCCTTATTGGGGTTCTCAGTCATTTCCCATATACACATGCACTTGTGCATTCATGTACACATGTACTGTACACTCATAGACACACAAGGACTTGTATACTCATAGACGCACATGCATTGTACACCAATACACACACACACACATTTGGAGAAAGACAATATTGCCAGTCTTACTTTTGTGTAAAATATAAATATAAAATGTTATACTTATAGAGAAAACTAGAAGAGTGGTTGCCAGTGCCTGGGGTT